CACTGTAAACTGAGAAAGAGAAGATTATTTAATCTAGCAATGAGAATTTAGCAGAGATTAGACAAGCAAGCTGTTCTTCAGAGTTTTGGGTTTTGTTTTGTTTGGTTGGTTTTTTTTAACTTGTCTCTTTGTTGGGCTTCTAGTACCTTAGTCTTCTGCCTGCCTTCCTTGTCTTGGTATTGTTTAAATGGTTCTGTTGAAGGTCAGGATGTTACTATTTCATGCAATGAAGTATTTTTTCCTTTAATATCCCAGTTTCTGGAAGGTGCTTGAATTCTTTTCCTGACATCTTCTTTGACATCTCCCCTGCTTGTGTGTAACTGCTAAAAATAAACCTTATTAAGTTCTTATTATTTTCACTCCACCTGGTACTGCACTAGTTTGCATCTAAATACTACTATTATTATGCTGATTCAGTATGGCTCTGGTTTTCTGGCAACATTTCATGCCTGAACTCTTGGGTACTCCTGTTTGAATAGAACTCTATTTTGCACATTTCAAGTGGCTTATGTGTCCTCTGTAGACGTTGTGTTAGAGTGCTTTGGAAGGTGGCAGTAACTAAAATACCAACAAATGGGAGTGTATTATCATGATCTTTTGGTTGGCCAGCATTATAGCTGTAGATAAGGTCTTTGTTTCTGCTTCTGGAGAACAATTTTTTTTAAAATTATTTTACTTTATTTTTTTCATTTTCAGTGGTTTGAGAAGGATTTTAAAATTATCTTTCAAAATGCTTCCTTTAAGGAAATGCAGAGATCCTTTTGTGCATAGTTGTCAGACCTTCACCTTTTTCTTCTAAGTGACTTTGATATCAATCACAATAGCACACTTCATTATACTTCAGCAGAGGTGGGGTAGTATTTTGGCATTTTCTGACTTCATAAGTAAAAAATTATTTTTTTCTGAAGATGTAAAAGCAGCTGGCTTACTAGTGAAACAGTGCTAGCTAGTCAAGCCTTTGGCTGCCGCTACTGATTGAGCGACCTGAGGTAGAGCTCCATGGGAAATGGACTTTGCTAATGTAGACACGGGGCTTCTCAGTGAGCTGTCAGGCTCTTCTAGAGTTTGAGGTTCAATGAACATACCTTAGCAAAGCTAGAAGGATGGAGGAATACATCTATGCAGATGTAACTCTGTCTGTTAACATCCTGGAGGACTAATAAGGAATTATTTGAAAGCACTCGGGTAAAATAATTTTATTAGTTACACTATAGAGGAGCTTGAGAGTATCTGGAATCATCTGGTCAAAAGCTGTTAGACTTATCATCATTAGGAATTTCTCTTTTTAACAGGATCCCTAATGTTATGTTGAAATACAGATGTTCTCGGTAACTGTGATCTTTATTTAGACATTTCAAGTGATCAACAGTACTTATGCAAGCGGTCGGAGATGTGATCAAAAGGGCCTTTGTGAATTAAAAAAAAATGGAGATACTGATTTGGGGACGTCTCATGCAAAAAGAAAGGTGAAGACTGCAAAGATAGATGGATTTCTCAAAAAAAACTGTTAAAATTCTTTCCTGAAGTCCCAGTGCTAGGAGTTTTGCCTAAGCAAAGAATAGTTATCAGTGGGCTGGGTCTATTCAAATTGATACTCAGTATTTTAGAACTTTTTCATTCTTACGTAGAACATAAAGCTATTAACAAATAGGAAATTCATTTAGTGGGAAACTTAATAGAACAGGGGAAAAGCGTGTAGAGTATTTCTGATATATTGAATTCTAGAAACTGGGACATCTTGCTTGGTTAGAAGCCCAAACTCACTTGTCCAGCAGGCAGCGTTGAGTAAGGTAGTTACTTTAGGCTACTATATCTATGGGCTATTTGCCCAGTAAGTACAGTAACACTTATGGTAGTAACCTTTTGCTAAATACCCTTTCATGTTTGTGCCTAGTTTGGGTAACTCTTGTCCTTTTGAAACACTAGAGGGCTCACTGACTGCTTTTGGAGTTGCATTTTGCTCTCAATGTTATGTCCATAAACCTCCAAATGTCTAAAGCAAGGATGTTCTAAAGGTGCATTGTCTTAGGAGGAAACTTACTTGCTAAGCTCGCTGGTTTTATCTAAATCTAGACTTTCTGGAAGAGTTCTAAATTAACACTTTGATTAGCCACAAGGGATGAATTGGATCTCTTGCTCAGTCTACTCTGGTGGGGGTTTTTTCCCCATGGAAATATTTCTTAAAAGTTTTGTGGTGGGTTTTTTTTTTTTTTTTAAATTACTGGTTTTGTCTGTCTGGTTGGCTTTTTGGATTCATGGATTATAATTTCCTAAGAAGCAATTAGGCAAACGTACCTGAGTAGTTAGACTCAGCAAAATGGGAGGACGTTTTGGAGGGGCGGGAATGAACATTGACATGAAGTAATAAATATTCTTAGAAGGCAGTGTCTACTGTGTGGGTTAGCTTCCTGTCTTACTATCTGGGGGTTGACTAACCATAGGTAATTGGGGTGGCTTCTGTTAAGAACTCACGCATACATTTACAATGCAATATGATCAAAATGTCAATCAGTTGGAAAAACGAAAGGCAACTGAGCACATGTGGGACATCTTGTAGTGTCACGCACTTTCTGACTGTCATGCACTGAACTGGGTCTGGAGCTGTTCCTGCCTTTTCCACTTGGTAACTCTGATACTCCTGGCAATCTGACCTGGGGAGTGAGACAGGACAAAAATGATCTTCAAACCAAAAATTTCACTTGCAAAAGTTTCTGTTTCCTAAACTGACTTGGTGTGGGAATAGATGAGCACTGTATCTCTTATGCAAGAGAAGGAGCAGGGATGTGCTAGGAGAAAAAGGAGGGGAAAAGGGAAAGACCATGGCAGTACTGGCTTCAGCAATTTTCATTTTTTTATAATATTGCATCTTTAGGCACTTTGATTCAGACCACTTAATTACAAGTTTAATTTAAAAAAAAAAAAAAGAAGCCCTTCTGTGTGGTGTTCCCAGATTGAGATGAAACAAATTAAAAGATTCTGATGTGATTTTTATGAGAAAATAAGCTTTGACAAAGCATAGAAAATGTCAGGCTCGGTGGAGGGCAGGATTTAGCCTGCTGAAATTTTTGAGAATTTGTACATTAATATCTAAAGCTGAGCTTGCAGGTCTGGCACATGATGATAGGGCAGAATAAATCATTCTTGTATAATATGCAATATTACCAGAAAACTTCAACTGGTAAATTGGAAAATATGCTATGGCCAAATGATTGGTTTCATATGGTCTTGATCCCTCTAGCCAGGGATTGGAAATGCCCTGTAGACATCAAGTCTATCACTTGGCTGCCTATTACCAGTTCTGCGTTGGGACAAAATGCCCTGTCCTTGGAGAGCTCCTAAACCATTTTGCAACGAAGTCAAGCAAGGGGCACCGCTCCTGCCCTCTGGTATATCAGTGCCATCCATGGCTTGAGACCATTTCCACAGATGATCTTAGTCACTGCATTTCAGCTGAGATCTGACACCAGGCTAACCTTCTGGTTGAAAATGCTCGCATATTAAATGCAGATGCCAATTTTTGCATTTGTAAAGCTGGGCCTGAAAGGGCTCTAGAGTAAATTAACATTCCTGAATTTTCCCGCAGGATAGATGCGCGTTTATGCTTCCATAAATAGCAAAGAAACATTTATTCTCACAAGTGCAGCCATACTTTTGAAAATCTGTTGTCATTTATTGTAGTCTGGCTTAATGCAGATTTTTAATTGACTTAATTTCTCTATGTGATTTGAGCAAAGGAAAGGGGAAGGAAGGAGGTGTGGGATTACTATTATCTGTGTGTCCCGAGGCTGTTGCTTTTAAATTTAGGATTATAAATGTTATTTAAGAGAATTATCCTTGACACACATGGCCTCAAGAAAAGGTCTGAAAGCAAGGGCCAGAGCAGTGTTGTCAGCTGACAGCCTGAAGCAATATCTTTGAAAAGGTCTGAAATTGTCACTTCTTGTCTAGAAGATGACCTCTGGCACTCCCAGCGCTGCTCTCCCTTGTGGAAGAGGGGAGGAAGGACGATGCAGAGGCAAAAATCTATCTTTCTGTTCCCTCAAGTGAGGCTGCTTGTGGTGGCCCTTGAAGAAGACTTTTCCTAAGCAGGTGTTGAAGGTGGTGGTTGGTAAAGGGAGGTCTTGGACCAGCTGGAATGGCTGCGCACCTGGACCACCCCCAAAAAAGGACAGTTTGGGCTAGGTCTGGCTGAGCGTGGTGGTAAAAGTGGGTGTCCTTGAGTCAACCCGATGCCCCCGCTTCTGACGTGGATGTCCTCTGCTCTTACCACAGAGCTGCTGTGCCGGGTTCCCCAAAGCAGGATTTATTTGTGGTGCACCTCTTTATGTAAAACATGGTTTTGTAGTGCTATGTTGTAAAAGTATTCAGCTGTTTGTGCAAAATGGTATGTGAAAGTAGCTACAGATGCATGCAGTAGCATTTATAGTCACAGAAGATTATATCATCGTAACCTCAAAACATTTCCTAGGTGTTCTGCCTGCCTGCTTTAGCTTCCTCCTTCCGTTATTAGCCGTACCGAGTCTGAACCAGCTAGTTATACACGAGAAAGTCTCTGCTGGAATCTGAAAACTACTGTGAGCTTAATTTTGACCTTAAAAATTCCTGCTCTAGGAGAAAAAACTTCTTTAAAAATGTTGCTTCCCTTAGTTTCAGAGGTGTATACTTAAGGGAAATAAAATCTTGCTTAAACTAATACAAAACACAATAAATTCCCTTCCTAACAATTAGTTATTTTTGAGTGTGTCTTGACCATAAGCATGCAGATAACGGTAGAGGTGGATGGGGCAGATATGGAATTCTTACGGTAACCATCCTACTGTGACCCAGAAAACAGCGCCACTGTTATTCTACATTGAGTATTTTATAGTTCTAATGCATACAACATGAATTTAATTAAGCATTGAATTAAATGTGTTTAATATTGAGAATATTCTCAAGTCAGTATTTGCTGTGGCTTCTTGCTAAATCAACATTACAATCCTGCTTTCGTTTCCCTACAGATGATGAAACATGCCTGGGATAATTATAAGCGTTATGCATGGGGATTAAATGAACTGAAACCCATATCTAAGCAAGGACATTCAAGCAATTTATTTGGTGAGTAGAGTGTATTTTTGTGCTTAGCGACGTTACTATAAAACAGCAAATCAGCTGAAAAGCTTATAGGTGATAAACGTGTTCTTTCTACCCTCTGTCATGCAGTGTGGTGTTTCTTGCTTATGTTATGTACAAAAAGTAACAGTAAATGATGGTAATGACTCCTATAGATTCCCTTCTGAATGAGAATAAATGAAGCATGTCATTGCTGCATGATAAAGATGTAGTTTTTTGCATTAAATACTCCCCTGCCGTAAATTTTTCCTATGAATTGGAACTCATTGACACCACATTCAATAAGCAGGAAGCAGGAAACAAAACCTGTGGTGGTGGGGGGGGAAACCCTGTACAAGGAACAAAAGATACTCTACAGTCATGAAGGTAGCTGAAGCTGTCTGCAGTCCTCAGGAATTTATTTCTGTTCCTTAAAAAATGTGTTAATCTATGTCAGTCGGGCTCCCTTATCAGGCTTTCTCTTTCATGAATATAACCATTATTTGCACCTCTAAATGTTGCATGGGAGATGGTTAAATAACGCCCAAGTTGTTATGAGTGTAGAACAAATATGGGGCTGAAAAGTTCTAGTAGGAGAAGCACACCGCAGAAATCCAGTGTAATGAGGCAAGACTTTTTTGATGTCCAAGTGGGACATAGGGCTGGATAAATAGGAGCTGAAGAACAGCAGCATTCTGAGGAAGCATGAAAAAGCAATCCTATGAACTGTCATCATCTTCAGTTTTGCAGAAAAATGAAGGATTAAACTGTTTAACAGCAATCTTTGTATTCAAATAGCTTCTGTTTTCCAAACAGAAAGCTGAAAAATGAACTAATTTCTATAGTTGAGACAAAATCAATACATTATTTTGATTTTAACAGGAACTTATTTTGTTGAATGTTTGGAAAAGATAGTTTGAAGTGGAAACATTTCCTAAAACAGCCTAAATAGAGCACTTATCAAATCCTCAACTATATTTGGAAGTTGCTAAGAGACAGCAGTTGTGATTACAAAAATAATTTTGAAAATACATCATCTACGTTGATGTTGCTGCACTGCTTGTCTCCCCGAAGAAACATAAACAATTTTACTAGGTGATTATTACATAGTTAGTTACTGAACTTTAAACATGAATTGGGTGCTTGAAACCAAAGTAGTTTGGGTGAACTTCAGGGTTAAGTCTGGCTTCTGTTTTCTTCTATTTTCTTGAAAAGTAAAATATTTTTATTATCTTCATTAAGATGACTGATAGTTGTGCAATTTAATATAATATTTGAAGAACTACCTAATGCAATCCTGTTTCCTATGTTTTCTTGGAGGACAACAAAATGGCACATGATGTCTTGAAAATTAAAGTGCTTAATGTAGTTTCATGTGGAATCAGAAGTGGTATAAAAATTTACAAGGTTTGAGTTTTTAATGATATTGCATGGATTCACAGAAAAAGCCATAGAGGTATTGACTTGTGAAATTCTTAAGCAGGAGTTCTGTTGATGTTGTTTAAGAGTAAGTCACTGCAGGCACTATTCAGTGTGAAACAGGACAAGCATTGAATTTGAAAATAAAACTGTGGTTAAAGGAGTAAGAGCCAGAGTCAGTCTAAATGCAGACCACTTTCTCATCATGGTCATCTAGTATAAGATCTTATTGCTGAGGAGATTTCCTTAGAAACATCTTCACTCTTATTGATCTTGGTGGCAGATCAAAATAAGCATTAGGTATCTTTCTGCTGAATTGCTTTACGGAATACTAAAGAGCAGCATATCTGCAAGCAGTTCTGTCTCATAAGCTACCCTTTCCTGAATCCATAATATCTCTCTCTTTTTTTTTTTTTTTTTAAGAAACAAATCCTTGTTTCTGTAATAGTGTCCTCAGATCATTAGATCTGATCTGTACCTTCATGTTTGAATTCAACAAATGCCGCATTTTTCATAAAGCAATAAAAGGATGATCTGGTTTTTCTTTTTTCTTTTTTTTTTTTTTGTGTCAAATAGTTGAACCTCTTTTTTCCGTGTGAAAGGACAAACAAGTTTCTTAGTTTCTTTATCTTCTTTGTTTCTCGTTCTTTTTTTTTTTTTTTTTTTAAAAAAGGATTGCAAATGGCTGACTACTTTTTAAGGTAATTCTTAATTCAATTACTTGAGAATAGGTTACCTCCAGTGTCCCACGAATCTCCTCACAACCTTCAGAAATCAAATAAGACCTTCAGTTCACTGTCATCCATCATGACTATCTCCAACTTGCCATGATTGTGTTTCCTTCTTGCTTCTAGGTCTCAATTTGCAAAAAATACAAGTTTCTGGTTGTCTTAATAGCAGTAAGATATAGCATATTTCATTAGCCAGCTTTTTAATTTTGAATACTTTCCCTCCTATGCATTAACTGGTGCAGTTATGGTACTTTGCATATATTGGGAGTGTCTTGTTATGGGATGGAGACTTCAGTACCTCACTGTGGGGAACTGCAGGTTCCAATGCTGTAGCTCACTTAATGTTGTATGGGTTAGAGACAGTATAGCTCTCCTGACACAAAAGTGGAGAGTTGTTTTCAAGTGGTATTGCTTCTAATTTGATAAGCTGAGGAGTCTTTAGACTGGTAGTCTGTAGACATATTCATGTGAGAGGAAGCAACTTCTGCACCTCATGTGTGCACACTAAAAATGTTTCAGCCTTTCTCTAAAAGTTAATTATGTGTAAACTGAAATAATTCTGTTTCAAGCCAAAGCCACGTACTTGCCTCTGACCATTGCAAAGTCTTTTCAGCACATCCATGTAATGTTTTGATTTCCTTTTAATTTGCCACTTTAGCTTTTACCATGTTGTCTTGGCAAGTAACTAACATTATTGTGGGCTCTTCACAGTCTACTCCAACTGCAAAGAATTCAGTTACAATAACAACTATTTGAAAAGGCAGAAGTGAAAAGTCATCAGTTGTGTTGTCTCTGTAGCATTCTTATTAGTTAATTCCGTGAAGTGTACAACTATTTCTAGACTTATCAAGTGAATTGGAATAGCTAAACATCTGTTTGCACCATACCTGTGCATTAGCAAAATAAGGCTTGTCTCCTATGCTGCTGTGACTTCTGCTGTGAGTAGTAATCGTTCTCTGCCCATACCTGGTAGAAAGTAGGCCCTGAGTAAGTGCTGTTAATTTTTAATACTTTAACCTTTAAAGTTTCAGATTACTGTCAACAATGTTTGCTAAAATAGAGCTCTATCCATCTACCCTCCTAATGTGGAAGTGGCAAAATCGCAATTTTGCCAATTTTTTTCACAGCCCCCCAACCCAGGAGCTATTCCTCTCCAAGCCTTCTGTACTAACTTTAAAACTAATGAGCATTGCTGCACTAGCAGAGAGCTCTTTCTAGAAGTGTTTTCTGCACTTAAGTGAGTGTTACTAAAGGGCTTTTTTAATTATCTGTAACTGTATTTCTTGTGCGGTATTGCCAGTTTAATAATACTGTAACTTGTGGGCATAGTATAATTAGTCTCTGCAAGTGAAAAAGGACCTTTTCTGGAGGGGGAGAATGAGATATTTAATAAATACTCACAATCTGCAAAGCCAAAGTACTATAGTTTAGCAAGATCCTATTCCTGCCACTTTGAACTGATTTTTGTAGTTTCTTCTACAGAGTATTGAGGTGTATGAAGATTTTTAAAGCCTGCCAAAATTGGTATTCAAAACTGACTTGCAGTGTACAACAATGTGTATTTTTAAACTGTAAGTTTATTAATACAGCTCTAGAAAATGAATTGTACATGTATTTAAACAATATGTTAATTTAGATTGAAAAGCTTCAACATCCCCCCCGGCCCCCCACATCTTGTTTTTCTTCACTGTTGCTGCTGGATTCCTTGGAATTCTGGATTTCAGTATGTTGTCTGAACTTTGGAAGTAAGCCTGACATCTTTCCCAACCAAATTAATAGAAACTCATCTAAAGAATAACATTAGCAGATATGTGGATGAATGACTCAACATAGCATTTGTGAGAGGAGGTCATGCTGCACAACTGCTGCTATTCAAAGGAGTTGGTCAGTATGAAGATGAGTTTGTTGTCTTTTTAGATTTCCAAAAAGCATTTTGGGGCGTTATTACTGGCCTCTCACAAGAATCCATTGCTGCTGAGGCCATGCTCTCAAATCGCTTATCACAGAGCTGGAAAAGCAAGTGACCAGAGTGGCAGTTTGGCAGCACTAACAGGTTACTCGAGGTAGTTACAGCAATGGCAAACTGCAGGCAGTTCCACGAACCCACAAAGGATTCCCTGACAGATGATAATTGCACTTTGAAATAGCAAATGAGGTCTAACATACCGAAATTTAAACTGGCACATAGTGGCACAGGAAACAGAATTCTAAGTTAATACAGAGAACTGGTGGACTTGAACTCAAAATAAGTAGTAAAGGTTGAAAACTTTTCAATACGATATATGGAGATGCGTAAAAAGTGGCATAGATGGGATGAACAAGGATTTACTATTCCTTGTGGGGGAACAATGCCCTTTGTAAGGGGTGGAAATATCAAATCAGTAGATGGCATGTTCAAACAAACAAAAGAAGGTGTTTCATAATGAAGCACGTAGCTGAGCTGCACGAGTGCCAGAAGTGTGGTGGATACCAAAGGCTTCCATGGAAAGCAAAGAAACAAGCAATGGAGGAAAAACTCATCGAGCTCTAGTAAATACAAAGGTACCAGAGCTGTCTCTAAAATGCACAGATGTACAAAATGCTAGAGATTAAAAGAGTATTCTAGAACTATCACAGCATTGTTTCATGTTACACATGTGAAAAAAAATTGAGAGTATTGTTTCTTTTCCCACTCTTACCAGCCGGTAATAGTGGCTGAAATTAAAAATGTTAGTGTTGTTGGGGGGTTGCCAGTACTTGAGTAAGAGTTTCATATTTTGGCATAGCACACTTTAGTAATTAATCACTCTTGACACTTTAAATTGCTAATGATATCAGATAGGAACCTTTTCAGTGAACTTTAAATAGAGGAAAACA